TTGTTTCAAGACGTCTCTAACAACAATTCATTATATAAACAAGGGTCTTTCTTTTCAAAACAATAAATTGATTAAAAATAATAAGCTTTTATTTTATCTTATGTATAAATGCGATCAGAGAATTTGGGAATTAAATTGCTTACCATCTCATCATAGCCATGTCATTTCTAGAACGGTTGTAGTCAAGTAAATCTTCAATTTGACCAGTACCAGAAATAACAATATCTTGATCCCATAAGGCGACTTGAGCCCAAGACTTAACGTCCTTGGTAGTGATAGAATCGATTCTTTCTAAAGCTTCCTGGAGAGAGTTTCTGTAACCAGCCAATAAGACCTTGTTGGCAATGTCAGAAGCAATAGACTTGGTGGAGTTTAATTCAGCCAATAAAGCGGTCTTAACAGCGTTCTTACCACGAGCAACTTCAGCATCGGAGATAGAGATAGATAATCTGTTCCATTCCTTTAAGGTAAAGTGAACAAATTCATCAACAGCAGAAACGTTAGAAATTTCAGCATTGAAACCCCATAAACCAGTGTCAGAGTAAGAGTTGGAGAAGTGGGTGTATTTGTCAACGATGTGATATTCTTGAACGATGGAAGCTAATTTAGCACTGGTAAATTTGGCAGTAACAGAGTTGTGGTCAAAGTTACCGAAGATAGCAGCAGCAACCTTGGCAACGTAGTAAGCTGGGGAGTTAATACCTTCACCTTGAGCTGCGATGGAAACGTAAGCTTTTGGTAAGGTGTCATCTCTCATTCTAATTTCAGAACCCAAGAAAGTGGCTGGCTTGGTAGCTGGCTTCAAACCTTGTGGAATGGATAAAGAGCTTTCAAGCGCATCGACTAATTCGTCGTGGTTGATATTACCGGAGGCAGCGATGACAGTGTTAGAACCGACAAGGTGTCTTTCGAGTAAACGAACAGAATCTTGAGCTTCCAAGTCTTGTACTGAATCAGCAGAACCTAAGGTTGGTAAACCTAATGAGAATCCTTGGAATGCAGAAGCATTCAAGTGTTCCAAAACCATCTTGGATGGAGTAGATTCGAGTTTGTTGGCTTGCGCAATTAATGAGGCCTTAGCTTCAGCAAATTTGTTCAGTTCTAAAGTAGCAGTTGAGTTCTTCACAATGTTGGCAATAGCATTGGCAGCTTCCTTGACGTTTTCGTTGGTAGATTGGGCAATAATACCGTTAGTTTCCTTGGTGTTTTCACTGGACAATAATACACCGTTTTGCACGCTGTTGGTCAACGTATTGGTGGTTAAAGCAGCAATACCATTACTGTATGGGTGTTCTGATCTTGAACCAGCACCGAACCACAATCCAACAGTGGCGGTTTCGGCGTATGGGTTCTTTTCAGTAGCGACAGTTACTCCATTGGATAATGTAGCATACTTAGTTTGAGAATTGGCACTTGAGATAAAACGACGAGCTGTCAAGTTCTTAGCGCTGGTACGGAGGGCTGATCCACGAATCATCGTTATTATAATGCAACAGTTAAGTAATTAATGGGGTTTCCTATTATTATTACTTTAAGTAATATATTTTTACGTTTTTTCACTTGAATGTTAACCTTTGACTAGTGCGTATTGCCAATCAGCCAATGAAAAATTGTGAATTATTTAGAGGGACTGGTTGACGCACGCGCAATGATGATTTTTCAATACGGGATAAATTGTTAGCTAGAAGGATATGTAAACAGATGCTAAAGGGGGCTAGGAAGATGTAGCCAATGTGTATGGGTCTATGTATGTATTTTTTTTAATTTCTGTAGAAAATTTTGGTGAAATAATAGTTGAGCATGGTCAATAAAACGGTCCGGCCGAACCACAGGGATGATGGAATGTGACAGTGGTTGAAAAGCGAGAGATATGGGAAGATAGTTGAGGGAGGATTTGGTGAGAGACACAAGAAAATGCTTTGATAAGTGTAGAAGTGTAGAGCAATGAGTTTTGTAGGGTATTCTCGGGAATTGTAGAAAACATTTCGCAACCTAATTAAGAAGTGAACAGGGGGTCAGGTTTGGAGTAAAAATTGTGATCTTTCATATGGTGAATGCTGTTGTGGTGAGCTTCGACAAATACAATTACAAATTAGAAAGATTCTTCTGTAATGGTTTCGTGGGTACTTAAAAGGATTTTTAACTTAATGGGAATTCCGAGAAGTGGTTTCTTCAAATGTAATAATAGCTGGAAATGTTAATGACAGCGAGGAGAGATGTCGGACTTAGAAAGATAGGGGGTTAGAAGAAGATTTAGAAGAAGGGTTAGAAGATGGGTTCAGAGGAGAGGTGACAAAGAGCGCATAATCGCGCGAGCAGTCGATATGAGATACATAGACTAAAGGACGCACAACCGGTACGATACCTTGATCTATAGATATAAAAGATTGGTTATTGGACTTGTGTTCTTGTGTATTTTAAGGTTCCCGAATCATTCTCGATTCTGTCTATTTTTTCAGTTGATTAATCTTGTCGAGACGCGTAGTCTATTCGTCCGAGTCGCTTACCCTTGCACTAAATGCTAATCATAAAAACCAATAGTCTTAGTTATCCTATAATTTTTCAATCAAACTTGCGATATCAACTGAAAAAAATCTAGATGCTTTTATAATTTATTCATTCACGCTTTAATTCCTCGATAATGTAGTCACATAATCAGGGCGCATCCTAAATTCCTATCATGGGGTTCTTTAGTACACATGAAGTCAACTATATTTCCCAAGAAGTCTTAGTTATAAGAAGTTTCTAAGGTGATCGATTCAACCTTTCGAGCGATAACGTTTATATTAAGGATTAGTGAACACAAGTATAAATGCTGCATGTGTCCAAAATCTTATTTTCGCAGTCAAATTTTGAGCTGCAATTCAAATGCATCTATTCTTTATTAACGACAGTAAATTTTATTAATAGGCTTCCTAATGTAACTCGATTGAAAATTAAAGTCTCTAAAATACAAGATATATACCCTAAGATTCAATAAACATAAGTGAAATCAAGACTATCGCATCCTGTTCTATCCACCTTCTTATCTTCATTATCTCCATTCATAATGGCTTCTTTTTCTTTATTTTGGGACCTCAAATATACATGCATTATAGATGTAAAAATCATTGCAACAACAGTGCAGCCTAATGAGAACCCATTTCCTAGCTTATAAGGAGGTGCTCTATAAACTTGACCCGCAACAACACCGGCTAAATTTCCAAATGTTTGATTGAACCCAAGGGCAGTCGCACGCCTGTAATGTGGTGCCATATTATTATTAAGCCAAGTAATATTCAATGCAACAGAAGTGTATAATGGAATAGCAATTAAAAAGGTTGCAAAATAATTTGCACCCGCAGATGATGAAGTTAAAAGTATAATATAGCCAACCATGCCCATGCCATTGACACCGAAAATTATTTGAGATTTAACGTTCTTTTTGTCAGATAAAAACGAAAAAGAATAAACAGATATTGCTGCTACCGTGTAAACAGGAACTGTCATATATTGAGCTTTCATCGAATCAAATCCTAATTGGAGCTTTAAAATGGAGGGTAAAAATGTTGCATAACCGTATAAAACCACGTCAACACAGAATTGAATTGTGCAAGAAATGAATAATTTAGGATCCTTTAATGCAAGGAAAAATTCTTTTTTATCAAATTTGGAACTCCCCATATATTGCTTCCTTTGCTCTTCCCTGATTTTCATAATATCTTTCTCTTCTTCATTTAAAAAATTGGCGTTAGCAGGATCATCTGGCAAACAAAAAAATATCCACCACGCAGCGATAAAGGAAAGACAACCCTCAATAATATATAACCACGACCAACTATCCATCATGCCGGTAGGTTTAATATTTGTAATACCTGTAGCTATTAAACCACCAAATGCACCCGAAAAGCATGAACATACATAGAGGTAACTTAAGCGTCTTGTTTGTTCTTCACGCTTATAGACCATAGACAACATAAGCAGGACTGCCGGGAAGTATGCACCTTCAACACCAAGAAGCAATCGACATAAAACAAGAGACCAATAATCTCTAACAAATGCAGTGAAAATAGTTACTAAAGACCAACAACATATTACAGCACATAAAAAGCGATGGGGGCCGAGCTTTTTTAGCATCAATACAGCTGGAACTTCGCAAAGAATGTAAGTAACATAGAAAATGGATACAGCAACAGAATACTGCGAATCGTTTAAACTCAATTGTTCATACATTCCCGCAATTTTAGCATTTCCAATATTTGCCCGATCTAAGAACGATAGAAAATAAACTACGGCAAACATTGGCAATAGCTTTCGGTCAAATTTATGCACTAGATCCTGCTCTTTCTTTGCATCAATTTCAACAACTGACTCACTTTCTATGTCACTTGGAAGAGCTTCTTCACCTGTCCCTGTAATCTTAATTATATATTCTTTTGATTCCTTCATGATGATTAGATATTATTGATTTTGACAATTGAAAATTTTAATGAAGGCCGGAAATGGATGTATTTAAGTATTTCAGACATAGATACACATTTTTTCTAAAGATAAGAGAATATGACAATCTGGACGCACTTACTGGGATATGCACATATAAAGGTTAAGTGGAGAGATAAGCGATAATATACAAAAGTATGTATTCATGTAGATCAGAACCCCGTATCAACATTCATAAATCCACCCACTGGGTCAACCCACTGGGGGACGCACTTTCTATAAGCAAAAATGAACCCACCTTCCCCACTATTTTTATCTTGTTATCTTATCACTCCAAATCAAGGTATGCTTCCCATCTGAACCCACTGGGGAATATTACGATAAAAATGATTAGGACGATTATTAGAATATAAATATGTTTCACTTACCACTCCGAAATTACTTCAATAATCAAATATTACAAAAGAATGGCTTTTGAGGCATGTATAATATAATTTTTATTTTAGATTAGCTAAAAATTTTCAATACTAATGAATTATAGAGACTTATTAGATTTGTTGCGAAAGATGGCAATACATACTATGGTGACTGTGTTTTGCCTAAAGATGAGATAGACATCTATAAATGCAAATATGCAAATATAATTGAAGGTGATATATTTGGTGATTACCAAGTTACAAATAAGGTGATTGAAATTGCTACATTACTTTCTCCTCTTCCCGAAAGACAAATACCATCTTTAAGATGCGTAGGAATGAATTATATCAAACATGCCATAGAATTGGAAATGGATATTCCTAAATATCCGGTTATTTTCTTCAAACCAACTACTGCAATCACAGGCCCATGTGACCCAATCTTTGTTCCAAGTGTTTGCCAGATCCACCCACCGGCCAAGGTGGATTATGAGGTTGAATTGGTTATTGTAATTGGCAAAGAGGGAAAAGATATCCCAGTAAACAAAGCCCATGAATATATAATGGGTTATACTATAGGAAATGATGTAAGTCAAAGGACTTGGCAAATGGAAAGAGGTGGCACGCAATTTGGCGTAGGAAAAATGTTTGACACCTTTGCTCCTATTGGACCAGCAATAGTCTCTGCTAGTTCTTTAGACAACACATCAAACCTAAGGATTTATTCGAAAGTAAATAATGATATTAGGCAAGATTCAAATACTTCCGATATGATCTTTAACTGCAACGAGGTTGTATCCTTTATGTCTATCGGTACAACTTTGAGACCTGGTGATCTTATATTTACTGGTACTCCATCAGGTGTTGCAGTTGGTCTTAATCCTCCTCCATACTTAAAAGACGGAGATGAAGTCTTTTTCCATATTGATAAAATTGGCATTCTTAAAAATAAGGTAATATTTGAAAACCCTGATCAATCAATAGTAGAATTATATACATAACTTTACCACTAATATAGAGATTTTTTTCTGTATTCATCTTTATACATATCAATACAAAATATCACTTTTTTGCCTCTTGATCTCTCCTGGCACCCTCTAAACAACCTAGAATACTCTCTACCTAATGCCCAAAGGCAGTTACTAAATAATTTGGACACTTCATCCATAAATCCAGCAATATAGTGAGTATGATCAAACTTTGGTAAATTATTGGCACACTTTCTAACGCTCATATGGAACTCTAACGCATTTGTACTCAGTACAATTATCGAATTAAACATATCCCGCATTCTATGCAAATAGTGAAAAGCTGTTTCCTTAAAGACAATATGGTCATTAGAGTAGTTATTTGATTCAGGTCCGTAGATTATAAAATTATAGCACCATATTATCAAAATACAGGCAACAACTACATGTGGCCTTTCCGGTACTGGGTCTAATCTTGGTAAGTAATTAAATTCATCGCCTTCCAATAAACATTCAAATAAACACAAGTAAGCATGAACTACACCAACTCTTCCATTCGAAGAATTTGCCCATCTTTTCATTCTCATTGATACATTTTCATAATCCTCCATTTGAGATTCGACATTCATCCTCAAGGGTACTCCTGCGTAAATTAGCATATCATGATTAACGATATGCAATCTGATATGTGCCATGTGATAAGTTGGAAACTTACACTTAGTATCGCTTGGGTGAAAATATGAAGCATTTAGGTCACTTTTTTCTTTTGCTTTTAAGTCCACTAGTAAAGGTTCAACATTACTGCAAATTTCTTTGTCAACGTTGAATTTCCAAGCATCCAATGCGTAAGATAACTTTTGTCTCCATGTATCTCTAAGAATGTCATGTTCCATGCCATTTATTAGAGACACAAGATCATCTTTGTTTTCAAGTTGAATTATCAACGAAGCTAGAGAATGTAATAATACTTTCTTTCCAAATGAACTAGTCTCAATTTTTTCATCTCTTAACATTTTCCGCAAACAATCACGGATCGAGTCAGGTTTTACATGCAAAGAAAAATCTTTAAGAGCATCGAAGTTGGATTCCCATAGAATGTCATCACAGGGTAATGCCAATTTCAATTTATCGACAAACAAGATTGAGTTATGTGAGGATATCATTGAACTTGTTAAATCAAAACAAAATGACACTAACGCACATCTTTTCATAGATTCCGCAGCAATCCATTTATACCATAATGCTTCTCCTTCATTTTCTCTTAAGTATGCTACAGACCTACTTTCTTGAGCATATGGGTCCCCTCCAAGTACTGTGCTACGTTTCATCATTTCTATTTTCGCTGCATGATGCACAGACGATCTTTCATGTAAATCTCTATTTCCAAAATGTTTCTCGTAAACCTCCAAAATGATCAAACTTTGAAGTTCCCATGGTTGTGATGGTCCATGCTTTCTATGTCTGAAAATTAACCAGCGTAGTTCTGTTCCTATTTCTAGTGAGAACCCAGAGGGGTCAATTAATATATCTCTAGACGAGCACGAAAGAATAGATCCGATCATTATCATTGATATTACTAGCAAAGGTTGAGCACTCAAACTATTAAATGACGGCTTATGTATAATTGGAAACTGGATATGGAATATTGACCAGTACGTTTTCAAGCAATATTCTAAAGTTGGGATATTAAAGTCCGGAAACTGCTTCAAACTAGGCACCAAATGGAGGAAAGTCCTCAACATCTCAGATGTTACTAATGACGAATTGGTTGGAGAATTTGAGGTATAATTGAAGTCTGCTTTGAAAAGCTCTGATAGTAAAGAATTTGGAGAATTCTCAAATACCAATGAACTGGGAAATTGTTGCTTGAGGTTCATATATTGACGTGTCAGACCATCATTTGTATTAGCCAGTTCAGGAGAGCTATATAGAGCCGAATAATTACCAGAATGCCCCTTTGAGTCAAATAGCCAATCCATCAAGTCTGTCTGTACAAAATTATCAATTCCCTCTGATACATCATGTAAATTCCCTTGCCCAGTTGAAGACCTATTTTGTTGTGAAACATCAGAGCCTGTGACTATACCATTAGTTGAGTTGTCTGCCTTTCTAATTGGCGTCTTCTTTTTCTTCTTGAAATGACGCTCATAATGCCCAACCATAACGTCATATCTTTTAAATTTCATTTCACATCCAGGATATGTACATCCGTGTAATGTAGCATTATCATCATGGTTTAAACGATGCCTTCGTAAGTGGTCCTTTCTCGAGAAAGACTTACCACATCCAGGGAAATCGCAATCAAAGTTATCATTTTTCAGCTTTGAAGTATTCGCCATTCTATTACTTCAACTACTCGGACGGTAGGGCTCTTGTTTCGATAGATGCATACTCACTAAGTGCGTAAGCTGCTTTCAAAACATTGAACGGATTATGTAAGGTGATAACAGATCTGATTTTATTTCTACAATCGGGTACACAAAGCATGCAGATTTATTATGACCAAGATATATGAAGTAGGTAAGAGGTAAAAGAATGCAAGGAATACAAGATTCAATGATGTATGCAGATGTTTAGTGTAACGAATACAGTGAGGGTGTTGGTGTAGAGTAGCATGAGCATGAGCATGATGTATTTGGAAGAGCATACGTTTCGTAGGAGAATAAATCTAATTTTTTTTTCTATAGGACAAAATGTTGAAAGAGAAATCAACGAGAGAAGAAATGGAAGAAGGGGAGAATCCATGGTTAGTGATTATAGTCATTGACCAGGAAATTCTATCGCTTTTCAACACTAGACTACGAATTTAACTCATATCACTACTATTTTCAGCAGTCAAAATCAACCAGGAGACAAATGCTCAAAAGCTAACACCTACGATATCACCATGCCACACATCTCCCTTTCGCAGCCTATTCTCATCTAGTTGATATACACACATCCGCATTGCAACCGTTTCTACCTTCGCCTACGGCGCCATTCCTATTGACCACCATTTGTACTGAATGCCACTTTCACACCCTTTATTTACACCACTAGCTCTATTTCTCCACTGTCTTGTTTTTACTACCTTGCACAACGAACACGTTAATAGTGCTCTTGGCACGCCCAGGCCGTTTACCAAGAAATATCGTGCGACTCTTACCCTATAATTTACTAACTCAAGATTTATTTGTACAGCCTCTTCTCTATGGAACTGGTTCTTTCGATAACTAAGATTTACGCTTTGTCGTATCTATTGAAGCTCTTCATCTAATTGTTGCGCATAATAAAATAACAATAATTAATCACCCGGGGCTATAGATCCCACGTTTGTCTCATCATACCTTGTTCGCACTGATTTTACTATTTTTTTTTATACACATTTAGAAGCTATATCTCTTATTCATCCATAAGATAGAACTACGATTTTGATTCCTTAACATCCCTTATATCATCCGTATTCCTCGTCATATATGCCTAGGTCTTGGTGTCTATTGTCGCATTTCTTGCTCAATTAGGTAGCTTCTGGAACAATAGCTGCAGCTTCGTATGCGGTCATAAACATTCCATATGCACGACCATAAATGTGAAATTTTGTGCCCAGACCAACACGGTTAATGTTTATGTATTTATATTTTCTTTTCA